AGACTTTAATGTAGACCTGAATTTTAGCAAGTCAGCCACACAGCTCAACCAGAAGAGCCTTCCAATGGGAAAAGACAACTTGAAGGCTTTATGAATGATTGGTACTGAGAATAGGAAGATCAGTCCAACTACTGTGTAGAAATCATCAAAGAAGTGACAGGTTTAAGAAATTGCTGCAGGATCTGGAGTGCTATATGTAAAAACAAAAACAGCCTGGCAAATACTGAGAATAGATGGGAGGAACAGTTAAAAGGCAGTTACAATAATCCAAAGTCTTTCATTATCTTCATTCTAAAAAATTAAGACTGGAACAGTATAACCCGTACTTTCCAATATTAACAATAAATAAGATCCTTACGTTCTAACTGATTGCTACCTCTTTTACTTTTTCTTGCTCAATTTTTCTGATACAAACTTTGAACATACCTTACTACCTTGAAGGCATTCATCAGGTTTTTCCTATGGACTAAGATATACAATAAGAGAAATCAAGATTTAGTGTTAAACTTTGCCTGGAAAACTGTTCTATCCCTTCTGTATTGTTCTTAGTTTACTAGTGTTTATTCATGAACTATTAACTTGACAAGAATAATCGGCTTAAGAAAAAGGTCCAAATTAAAGAATCCTTTATTGCATTGCTGAAATTACAAAGAGATGTTAAGGAATATCATGTGGTATCTTGCTGCAGCTGGACAACTGTAAAAAGAAATGAAAATATCTGTAAATTTCCATCAACACCCTTGCCCAGAAACCTATTTTCTAAATAAATTTAAAACATACTTCAGGATTATGACTCACTGACTCATTAAGTCTATATAGGAAAAACATATGCAATGTCATCTCTTATTTTGCCAAATTTATGTGTCCCAGAACCCAAATCTCCATTTTCTGCTCAACTCCAGTTTAAGTCTTTAAGAGCCTCAAGTATAAGCAGTTAAAAACTTACGGACACTGTAAGAACCTACCTCTTAGGTCTTACTCATCAGCCTGCTGAACTGTTCCTTTTTCAGAGACATAAATACCATCCAAAAATTTTCTGATATCCTTGTTTTTAACTGTTGTGGCCTGCTGAATCAAAGCAGCTACAGGAGTGAAAGAGATAAGGTGATTACTACACCAGCCAAACCCATTACGAAAAGAAGTATTTGTTTAAATACATGCCAGAATTTCATTTGTGATAGCTTTTTAATTTCCACAATTTAAAAAGATAACCAAATGCAAAGAGTAAAATACCACATAATCAACTGCAAGACTCAAAACAAAATTTTATAGACACAGCATAGTAAACATACAAACCTGAATTTGAAACAAGCTCAATGTCATTTCCTTCGAGGATTAACTCATCTTTCTGGGCTTGAGATACTGAACAGGCAACACCTACAAAGGGAGAGAGGGTATTTGAACAGTGTTAACATAACTAGATCCGTGTAAAAAAACAGGGCTAGTAAAAATTCCATATACCTGGGTGGCGCCCTTAGCTCAGTGGATAGGGTGCCGGCCACACACCCAGGCTGGTGGGTTCAAACCCAGCCCAGGCCAGCTAAATGACAACTGCAACTAAAAAATCGCCAGGCATTGTGGCAGATGCCTATAATCCCAGCTACTTGGGAGGCTTAGGCAAGAGAATCACTTAAGCCCGAGTTTAAGGGTGCTGTGAGCTGTGATGCCACAGCACTCTACCAAGGGCGACATAGTGAGACTCTCTCAAACATAAATAAATAAAATACAATTCCACATACCAACTGAGCCTTCTCTTGAGATTTCGCTCATAGGACCTGACTTACTGAATTAAAAATCTTACTTATGTTACACTTTCAGTGATTTGATTAAGGAATTCAGATAATAAAGCTTAGTTATACAAAGCCTTGCACCTACCCTTAGTTCTTTTTTTCTTTACATAAGGGCTTTCATTAAATGCTGCTGACCACACCTAGATCACAGAATACTTTTAGAAAGCCATCAAGCTGGCTCGGCGCCTATAGCTCAACCGGCTAAGGCGCCAGCCACGTACACCTAAGGTGGCGGGTTCGAATCCCCAGCCCGGACCCGCCAAAACAACAATGACGGCTGCAACCAAAAAATAGCCGGGCGTTGTGGTGGGCGCCTGTGGTCCCAGCTACTTGGGAGGCAGAGGCAGGAGACTCGCTTGAGCCCAGGAGTTGGAGGTTGCTGTGAGCTGTAATGCCATGGCACTCTACCCAGGGGGACAGCTTGAGGCTCCTGTCTCAAGAAAAAAAAAAAAGAAAGCCATCAAGCTGAACTAAACTACGTCCCTTCTTCTCAACCCTCTCCACCTCAACGGAATCAAAAAATATCAAGACGACCAAGCATAGTAGCTCATGCCTATGATTCTAACACTCTGGGAAGCTGAGATGGGTGGACCGTTTGAGCTGATGAGTTTGAGATCAACCTGAGCAAGAGTCTCTAAAATAGCCAGGTATTATGGAAGATGCCTGTAGTCCCAGCTACTTGGGAGGGTGATGTAAGAGGATCTCTTGAGATCAAGAGATTGAAGTTACTGTGAGCTGTGATGCCACTGCACTCTACCAAGGGTGACAAAGTAAAACTGTCACAAAAAACAAACAAACAACAACAACCACCAAAAAAACCCCACCAAGCTTTAGGCTCGGCCTATGATCCTAGCATTCTAGGAGGCTGAGGTAGGTGGATCCCTTGAGCTCCAATTCCAGACCAGCCCAAGGACGAATGAGACCATATCTCTACCAAAACCAGAAAAAATCAGGTAGGTGTGGTGGGGGCTCTTCCTGGAGGCTGACCTGAACCCAGGAGTTTGAGGTTGCTGTGAGGCTGACACTACCACATTCCGGCCTGGGGGAACAGAATGAGACTCTGCGTCAAAAAACAAGAACAAAACCACTAAACTTTAATATTTCCAAAAGTTTACTATGTATGAGGGAAACACTGTTCATAAAGATTTTCCAAATTTAACTCATTTACGTATGAGCAGTTCCCAAGCTACAGAGAGGCAAGGAGACAATGTGCCCAGGGTATAAAGAAAGAACTGAACTTTAAACCTAATCAAAAAAAATCAAGAACACCAAGCATAGTAGCTCATGCCTGTAATTCACTGTGTGCTTCACCCTTTTAACTAGTATTCTAATGCTCTTTCCTTTGGACTGTAAGTGTTCTTACCATAAAGAAATAAGTGAGGTGATGGATACGTTCATTAGCCTGACTCTGTTGGTCCACAATGCATTGTTTTTTTTAACGTTGCCCTTGGTACAATGCCATGGCATCACAGCTCACAGCAACCTCAAACTCTT